TGTTAGCCACAAGAAACCGAGACCCCTCCCCACCGCCCCGATCCCCCCACCCCCTTGCTCCCCTCCCCCCCTCGGGAGGGCCGAACTGAGGCGCCCGTGGGGACCCCGCACTTCCCTTCCCCCCTCGGAGGGCCGGACTGAGGCGTCGAGGGCCCCGCTCTTTCCCTCACATAGCGGCCACTCTTCGGATCGCTGGTCGAGCGACCCGGGGGATGCCCCGCGCGCCTGACCCAGGCGCGAAAACGAATCTGCGAGGCGAGGCCGCTCACGCGGCCCGATGGGGAGGAACGGGGCGAGCCCACTCCAACCCACCCGCGCTAGGTCTCGGGGGACGAAGGGGTCACACCCGACGACCTCGGGAACTAGCCGGGGCAGTCGGAGAAGGGGCAACTCCGTGCACTGACGGTCGGCCGCCAGAAAACACGCCTGCGTGGATCGCGTAACACCAATCCTCGCTACCCAACGCGGCCAAAGGATATCCACCTCGAGAACCTCGAGAACAACGAAGGCGCTCTCAAAAAAAGAAATTCGGTCGCCGCTGGCTCGACCCGCTCCACCTCTCCGCTCTCCGGGCCCATGCCCAAGTCGCAGAAGGCCAGGAAGCAGGCCCGCTTCAACCCGCTCGCAGCCGCCCGTCGCGCCGCCGAGGGCCAGGAGGAGCCCGGCACGTCGGCAGCGGCCGCCGAGGAGGCGCCAAAGCTCAGCGCGCACCAGCTCCGTCACATCGAGCGAAAGCGGCTGCAGGTGTGCAGGCCGCGGCGCGACCCCGCACGGCACCACGAGCGCTCCACCCCGCGCGTCCCGCCCACAGGCCGAGACGGCGGCGCTGCGCAGCTCCAAGCTCAAGGTGAGCAAGGCGGACAAGGTGCAGCACAAGCGCGACAAGAAGGCGCTTGCGCGGGAGCTCAAGCAGGCGTGAGCGGCGGTCGGGAGGAGGGCTCGCGGGCGCACGCCCTCTATCGCCGCCGCCGTCTTTCCCACCGCCCGCGTGTACGCCTCTCCCGCCGCCTTTCTCAACCGCCGCCACCGCTGGCGTCGTCGCAGGTGCGGCAACAGGCAAAGACGCTGCGGAGAGCGCCAAAGGGCGGCGGCGGTGGAGGCGGAGGGGCGGGCGAGGCGGTGGAGGCCGTCGGGGAGGGCGCCGCCGACGACGCCTCCATGATCGACGCGCCGCTGGAGGCGGACGAGCCGTTGCGGGGCTTCAGGTGAACATCGCAGCCGCTCTCTATGTCCCTCCGCAGCCCCTTCCGGGACCTTTCCGAGAGCTGTCCGTCCGAGAGCACGCTGTAGCAGCGCCGCTCAGTGGCGCCTCACAGACGCGCGCGAGACGGCCCTCCCGCTCCGTTTGCGCCGCCGCCACTCTCTTCGCCGCCGTTTCTGACGCCGGTCCGCCCGCGTGCCGCCCTGCAGCTTCAACCTGCCGCCGGCGCTGCCGCTGCCTCGAGGTGACAGACCCGGGAGATGACAACCTGGACGGGGGGGGCGGCGGATCGCCCGTCGACGGGTGGTCCTCCGCCTGTCCGTGCCGTGTCCTGCCCTGACAGCCGCCCGCCTCCAGTGCCGCTCTGTCCGCCCTCCTCCCGCTCGGCCCCAGTGGCTTGTGGCCATGTTCCTTGCTTCCCCCGTGGGCGCCTGGCCGCGGGCCTAGCCGGTGGGGAGCGAGCGCTGTGGTGTTGGTGGTGCTGGGCCGTGTGAGCACGTGGTGGGCCCGCGCCGGGGCAAGGTGTCGGGGAAACTGTGCGACCGGGGTCGCGCCGATCGACTGACGTGTCTGTCCGTGCGCGAACCGTGTCCCGTGTAATACCCGTCAGACTCCCGCGGGTCCGGATCTCGAGCGGGCCCGGGAGGAGGCGCGCTCGAGGCCGAGTGGTGTCGCAGCGCCGTCTTGGGCTGTGGAGCCGCGCCGCGTGAGCTTTACTTACTCATTAGTAGCAGCAAGAGTGACGTACGATCCGCAAAACGTCTAAAGCGCGCGTCTCTGAGAATCTAGCTGAGAATGCGAGCCGGCCACCACAGCTGAAGCGTCTGAACACTCCTGCGAGGCACACATCTGACGAGGCTCACGCAGCGGCGGCTCCTCTCGGAAGCGACGGCCACGCAGCGAACGCGTGTTGCCGCTGCACCAGCGGCGGTAGGGGACCGGCTAGCCCGATCGCCCGTCCCGCACCAGAGCCGGCGCCCCCCTCGTTCTGCTGCGGCACGAGGCCGCCGAGGGACCTGTACACGGGCTCTTCGTCCAGATCCACCTCCAGGTCCGCCATGCCCAACGACAGCGAGCGGTAGACTGGCTCATCCTCCTCGTCGGAAGAAAAGTCGTCAAGGAAGGCCGCGGAGGAGTGGTACCGCATGTCGTCGTCGCTGTCATCGGGCGCGACGTCGAGGGAGCCAGGGCTCTCGCCCGCCGCCCGGACCTGCGCGAGCCAGCTGCAGTGCTCCTGGAAGGCCGCGGCAGACTGCGAGAGAGCCATTGAAGAGACGGAAGACAAGGCCGGACAGACGGGACGGGACCAACCTTGGGCCGCGTCTGCCAAAAAAAAAGTGAAAACGGGCACGTTGTTTACTTTAAGGCCCTTGCCCTGCGAACGCGCACCCCCGGGGCTAGGGCTTTCTTGCCCGCAACCCGATCCCGATCATCCGGCCCGCTGGGTGCGCTTCTGAGCTCCCCGGCCCTGGATGTGAGGCTAATGACTGCACTCCAAGTGCTCCAAGTGCGCTGCCCGGCCCTGGATGTGAGGCTACCAACTGCACTCCAAGTGCTCCAAGAACGGGGCGGTCCTGGGCGTGAGGTTAATGACCGCACTCCAAGTGCTCCAAGTTCGCTCATCACACCTTTCTCCTTTGTTGTTTTCTCTTACGGTGTCGACGATGCCAAACCTGAGAACAGATTCTTTGTTGATCATAGAGATCAAAAACGCTCGGCCCCTCTTTACGATCGTGCGTGCGTACCCCTGCTCGCACACACACACACCGCTCACCCACGCGCACCGGGCCTTGCACTTTGAATGCCGTGGGGCTCCTGTCGTTAGACGTGGAGACGCGAGGGTTGCCCCCCCTTGCCCCACCACCTCGTGTGTGTGGAGAAGTTTACCTTACCTTACCTTACCTACCCCTGCTCGCCGTGCGGTGCGTGTCTCGCGTGTGCCGATGCGATGTGCAGTGTGACACAGGATAGGATCGTGTCTCAATGGCCATTAGAGGGGAGCGCTTGTGCATGTTTTGCACATCGTACTATTTCTTCCCACATGCACCGTACTACAAGTGCAACTCTGCACGTGGTGCGTGCCAAAAACCGGGGGACGGGGCCCCGTTTGTGGGGAGAACGCAAAGCAAAGCGAGTCCGACGCGGCGCGGCCTAGCTCTCACGTCAGCCCATGCCTGTTGAGCAATCCCTGGAAGGCGAGCCACAAGTCGCGGTGCTCCGTGCCAAAGATGGCGCCCGCCTGACTCACCGTCTCCTCTCTCGTCTGCGCGTGGTCGTTCAGTCTCTTGATTGAGGCGAGGAAGGCGGAGAACTGCTCGTACGACAGCCGCAGCCGCGCCGCACGGAAAAACTCCTTGCCTGCTCACAGGTGGCGTCTCCTCACTGCCGAGAGTCCGTGCGATGGAGCGGCGCGGGAGAGCGCTCTTGCCGTCCAGTGTCGGCGGCGGCTCCGGCGGCGGCGGCGGCGCGGCCCGTGGCGGTGACTTGGCCATGGATGGAGCCAAGCCCGCGCCAAACGATGCGTAGCCCGGAGAGGGCGGCGACGCGCCGCTGCTGCAGCCCGCGTACGCGTGAGGCGTCCGCTCGCCGCCGCCGCCGCCGTACCCGCCGCCGCCGTACGCGCCGCCGCCGCCGCCGCCACCGTACAGGCCACCGCAGGCGTGGCCGCCGCCGCCAAAGCTGCCACCTCTGCACCCGGTACCAACGCCGCCGCCGCCGCTGTGGGAGGCCCCGTTGGGCGGCGGCGGCTCCTCGTCCGCCACTCCGTTCGTCGCCGCGATCGACATGATTGCGCGCTTGAATTGGCCCGCCTTGTCGAGCCGCTCCTGCAGCGAACGGTTCTCGGCGGCGAGCGAGTTCTTCTCGGCGGCGAGCGAGGCGCGCTCGGAGACGAGCGAGGCGTTCTCGGCGGCGCCGCTACGGAGCTGCGCCTCCAGCTCTGACACCCGCTGCTGCAGCGCCGTCACGCGGCCCTCGCTCTCCGCGCTGAAGGCGCGCAGCCGAGCGGTCTCCGCCTCGAGGCCTCGCGCGCGTTCGTCGTAGGCGCGCTCGATGAGCGAGAGCCCGAGCTTGAGGAGCTCGCCAGGCTCGCTCGGAAGAGGATCCGGACTGAGAGTGGCCATGAGAAGTGGGTGAGAAAAGAATTTAAACAAGACAACTCTCTCTCACAGCACACAGGCTCGACACAGGTGCGAACTGGCGCGTGCTAGTACTATCACCGGCACACCACCGGAGCCGCCTAAGCGACTCCGTTAAGAACGGCAATGCACTTAGCTCCGTGCACAATGCCGCTGTCCCCAGGCCGAGGAGGAGGCAGGAGGGGGAGGAGGGGGAGGAGGAGGCTGCCCCCAAGGGAAAGCTCCAGCAGCTGGATGGCGATTACCGCTTTGCGCGGGAGCAGGATTGCGATCCGTTTGTTTGATTTTGAGGCTTTCGGAGGCTTTGGAAAGGAGGTTCGCAGCACCCTGAGGGAGGCGGCGAACCAGCTGAGCAACAAACTTTCGCACGCTCAGCACCTGGACGAGGTCACATGGACCACCAAGAACTGGCACGGGCTGCAGATGCAGCGCTTGTCTGTCGTCCTCCACACCGCCGTGGCGTGGCAGACGGTGAACGAGCTAGCGTGCGGGAAGAGCGGCATTGTGCATGGTGCGGAGTGCATTGCCGTTCTTAACGGAGTCGCTTAGGCGGCTCCGGTGGTGAGCCGGTGTGTGTGCCAGTCCGCGCCAGTCCGCGCCCTTGTCCAGTGTGCTGTGAGGGGCGCGAGCAAGAATTCTTCTTTCGCGCAATCGGTGCTGACCTCGCATGTTTGGGCGAGTTCGCGCGCCACTCGCTCGCCGACGCGGCGTGCGGCACGCGAGCTACGTCGCCGGCGACCAGTCTTCGCTCCTGCCAAAGTGGGCGCACTCGACGCCTGTCGTCGGCGGGCTCGTCGGCGTCGTCGTCCTGCAGGCCGCCGCCGCGACACCTCTGCCACGCTAATCAGCGGTTCCTCCATGAGCCACGCCCGCCCACCGCCTGACCGCCGCCCGCCGCCCTCGCAGCGGCTCTGGGCGGCGCTGCGGCCATCGCCACAGGCGACGCCCGGCCAGACGGACGCCGCGTACACGCCCACCGACACAAAGGCCTTGGCTCTCAAGCACCAGGGCGTTGAGCCTGGCGCGGCGGTGGAGGCGGCCGCAGCGCCGCCGGCGGCGGTGGCGGCGGTGTCGTCGCCGGCGATCGCCGCGCCGGCCGCGGTGGTTCCGCGCAAGGACTCGCTCTTCACGTCTCCACTGGCGCGGAACACCTCCCTCTCAGAGCCGGTGACACCCGCAGAGATCAAGCGGGTGACACAGCTGCAGCAATTCGACTCGCTCAGCCGAAAGGCCACCAAGGAGGAGGAGGCGCCGGCCCACTCGAAGATCGAGGCGCCTGTTTGGATTGGGCCAAAGCCGGTCGGGCCGGTGGCGGAGGGGGGCGGGGCGGGCGGGCGGCTGGTGGGCTTCACCGACGGCAAGGACGTGTTCTTGCGCAAGGAGGGTAAGGGCGGCCCGCTCCTCTGCAACCTGACCGGCTCCGAAGGGCTCGACTTGGCTGCGGGCGGCGCGGCGACCGTCAGCGTGCGCGGCTTCAGCGCGGACGGGAAGTGGCTGCTGGCGCGGAGCGGCGAAAAGGCGCTGGTGGCGTTCCCCGTCGGCGGTACGACGCCGGTGGAGGTTGTGGCGGGCGGGAAGGGCGTGACCGTCGGCGGCGTGCATTGCGTCGACACGCAGGAGGACTTCAGTGGCGTGCTGGTGGAGGTGACCGGGCTTGTGCCTGGCGGTGCGAGCGCCGTCTTCCGCGCCAGCCTCGACCCGGTGCTGCCACCGCCGCTCGAGACGAGGGCCTGAAAACGAATACTGCAAGGCCGGGGCCGCTGGATTTCTTTTTTAGGTGATGCCGCTGCAGCTCGACACGATGGCGCCGCTCTCGCCGGGGTCGCCCGAGACGTGGCTCGTCGACACCCCGAGCGGCGCCGTGCTCGGCGTCGTCTTTGCCGACGGCAAGCGCCGCTCGCTGCTGATGCGCGAGCCGCTGCCTCGGAAGAGGCCTGACGCACACTAATTGATCGATTCGTCAATACCTGCTCTATAACTAGGCACGAGCCGCTGCCTCGGAAGAGGATCGCAGAGCCGCCCAGTTTCGGCGCCTGGAAGGAGGGGGCGGAGTGGAGCGAAGCGTCGGGCACGCGGTACGTCGGCTTCTCGGGCGGGCTCGCCTGGCTGCAAGACTTTTACTCTGGCGACGTGACCGCCGTCGCCGCGGACGGCACCACGCACCGCATCCGCAACCGCTGAGGCCGAGGCTCCGGCTTGGCGGAGTTGGCACGCGGCGGGAGCGGCGAAGGGGGCGTGTGGCCCCTCAGATGCGGACGCTGCGGCATGACCATGGGGCGGGGGAGGAGAGTCGCTTCTGAGGCGCTCGGAGGTGCACGGTGGCACGCGAAGGCTCCCACCGCGTGTTTGGCCTTTGGCGCGGTCGACACTGGCGCGGTCTTGCGGTATCCGTCGGTCGCCCGCCCGTGCGAGTGTGGAGTCGAGGGCGACTCGGCGCGGGTGGCACGGCCCAATTTGGCCAGGCACGAGGTGTGTGGGCGCGAAAAAACAGGGACAGCCCTCTTAAAATTCACTCCGCCGCCCGCAGGTTGCTCGCACAATGGACAATGCTCGTAGGACGTGTCAGCTAGGGGTAGGGGGTGCGGGGACACCCCTACACTACCCGCTGGGACCCGGACGCCAGCACACACGGCTAGATTTCATGGCGGGCCGCCTAGGCCCTGGGGTCGGAGTCAGAATCGGTTGGGTGGCCGCGGAGCGCATTAGTATTCTTGAATGGAAACCACACGTGTGTATCGCGCGCCACACACACACACACAGGGCGCGGGCTTCGCTTCAGGAGGGGTCCGGGGCGCTGCAGGGCGGGAGCACTACCACTCCACCGCCGGGCTCGAACGGCGGCGGCGCGATAGCAGCGCGATGCTCTCAGCCTTCCTCCTGGCCGCAGCCGCATCCGTTGCCGCGGCGAACCCGACTGTCACGTTTGACACCTCCATGGGCTCCTTCTCAGCGGAGCTCTACCTCGACCGCGTGCCACGAACAGTGCGCGCCTATTCGCTTGACACGCCTGGCCCGACTCTTGACTCTTGACACACTGACACATTTTGCAGACACGCCTTCGGGAGTGGGCTGTGCAGGCGTCAAACTTTGTGGACCTCGCAAAGTCGGGCTTCTACAACGGCCTCCACTTCCACCGCGTGATAGACGGCTTCATGAACCAGTTTGGCTGCCCGCACAGCAAGGACCCGAGCTCGACGCGCGCGGGGACGGGCGGGCCGCCCGACGGGACCTTTGTCAACCTCGCGACCGGCGCGACGGAGACGCGCTCGAACGGCGGCAACATCAAGGACGAGAACATCTCTCGCGACTCCAACGTGCCGTACAGCCTGTCGATGGCAAACACGGGCGCGCCAGACTCCGGCGGCTCGCAGTTCTTCATCAATGTGGCCCACAACTCGAACCTCGACTGGTTCTCCGGCGGCTCCTCCCGGCACCCGGTCTTTGGGCGGGTGACTGCGGGCCGGGAGGTCGTCCTCGCCATCTCTCGCGTGCGCACGAGCAACGACAACCCGGCGGCGCCCCTCGTGAAGCGCGAGGCGGCGGTGGAGCCTTCTCGGAGCCTCCTCGGAGCCTCCCGTAGGTGGTCCCCATCGTGATGCGCAAGGTGACGGTGGGCGGACTCAGCCGGAGCGAGAGGCAGCAACTACCTTCCTAGACCTGTCCTAGACCTGTCCCAGACCTGTCCTAGACCTGTCCTAGGCAGCGGTACCGCAGCAACAAGGGCGACAAGGAGGGCGAGCTGTGAGCGAGTCGCGGTGAGCGCAGGCCGTGCGCGAGCTGGTGTGGGGGAATCAGCGGAGGGAGGGAGGCACTCATCGGTAGCCGCGCGGGCTCCGTGAGGCGCGGCGGCGGCGCTGGCGCGTGAAGGCTGAGGCGCTTAGTGCGTGCGGGTCGGCGCGGGCGCGACAGAGAAGGGCGAGCCAGCAGCGGCGAGAGGCCACAGCACTTGGCCACTTCAATAGTTATACTCGCACTCCAAGTGCACTTGTTCTCCGCCTGCGCGTATACGTTGCGCCGCGGTCGCGTGCCGCGCGCTCTACACTCTAGTTTCTCACACTTCACTCCACATGTGCATGTGCATGTGCGCGCCGAGCCCCACGCCGCCGCGCTGACCGGTCCTCCGGTCCCGGTGTCCGCGCGGCTGCGCGAGTCCCGCGAAAGCTGAGGGACCGGCGGGGTCGCGGAGATGGTGGACTTCGACTAGTGGCGGGGATATTTTGCTTTTTGGCTGATCGGAGTGCATTTGGAGGGGAGCACTTGGAGTGCTACTCCGATGTCCGAACTCCGAAGATGGAACGATCACACTTCTCTCGTCGTGGTGGCTCCCGCGCGCCCGCGCCGCCAGCCGCGCGCGTGTGCCGTGTCCCCGTGGCCCCGTGACTTGCCCCCCGTGTATGTGTATTCGTGTCCATCCCCTAGATACAAGATACAGCTCCGTAGACACGGATCACACACACGGGTGGGACAGAGTGGGTCACAACGAAGCACGAGAGCGTGCTCGAGATGCAGCAGCGCTCTGACATCCTTCTCGCGGCGAGGGCTAGGGAACCGGGCTCCACACAAACACACGAGGCGGCGTCGGTTGGTCGAGGAGTGTCTGGCGTGAAGCGACTCGTTTTAAAATGCGTCTTGTCCTTTCGCCTGCGGAAACGACCAGGGACCCCTAAGATGTCACCCCGGAAGCTCCGACGAGTTGCCATCCAGTGGGTCACCTGCGCACTGCGCGATCTTCGCAAGGCTACGCCGGACTGGGTGAGCCCCCCCCCCCCCC